TCTTTTTTTTAGATATCATTTAACCGACCGATATGCATAACATTAATAAAAACCTGAAAGCTAAGTATTTGTAGTTGTAATCTACTTTTTTTTTTGTTTGATCCTGAGATAATCATACAGATTGAGGGCACAGCCATCAACGTTCATTTACCTTTGATCAAATACATGTAGTGCGTGACTTAACTTTAAAAATTAAGTCAAATATGATATTGTCAGATCGTTTAACATGTTTACGTCTTCATCAAATTTATAATAAATGTAATATGAAGTTAATAAAAAATAGGAAAAAGAAATGATCATTTTTTTGTAGCTATTTAAATCATATATTCAATCCAGTGTTTTCCTATTTTTGCTGATAATAGAAATGTTACATGAAAAGATTTTGCTATATTCGTGATAATTTAATTATTATTCTCTTACTTTGTTCTATGTGTTTATTACATATTACTTGATATTAGCTTTTCAAATTTCGTGACATTAGGTTGATCTTCTCAAGCTTGAACATGTCATGTTTATTTCATTAATGTTAATGACATTCTCTGGTTTTTATTGAAGTAGTAGAATCAACATCTTCAAGGTTATTATATGACAAAAGAAACCATCAATCATAAAATTGAGAATGCACTTTTTCCTCTGTTATTATTTACATTATGAACAGTGCAGTTGGCTCAATCGGTAGATTCCCGTTTCGTCAAAAAATTTAATTGTAATGAAAAAGAGTATAATCAAAGTGACAAGCTCAATTTCTTTGATTGACTTAAACTATTTCCTTAACAAGAAACTAATAGATATTCCTATACTAGTAATCTATAATTTTGTAAAGTATATATATATGTGGAGGGAATTATTATGATTTGAAAAGTTTAAAGACTACTAATCATGTCGAAGGATGACATAATCGATTAAATAATGATTTAAATAATGTTGTACATCCACATGTTTATCTATTCATTCGTGCAATTCAAAATGTTTATGCTTATAATGTAGCAATATCATTACGTCACTTAGCAACTGGCATATTACCTTCACAAAAAAAGTTATTATGTAAATCGGAATGCACGATTCCGTAATTTAGAAGAATGTTTTAAACAATAAATATTAACATTGAAGAAATATCTTGAAAAAAATTTATGCGATTAATCGGAAGAAAAAAGTATTGAGTTTTTTTCTTTTCTATACTCATACTTCCTCTTACTAATTTCTTATTTATGTATCTAAATCTACTCTATAATAAATTTTTTTTTTTTTGACAAATTTATCTACAAGTAATTAGAGACTATCCCTGATTAGTATGACGAAAAAATCTCATCAAATGATAATCTATTCTTCATTGATTAATTAAAATCTAGTTTTTCGACGAAACGAGAATAGTTGTTTTTTCATTTTCGATGAAACAGAAAAATCAATTAAGCTTTCGACGAAACGGGACCTAACTGATCCAACCATTAAGTATCTTCTGCTTATTAATTCTTTTTCTCTTTTATCATTCATTATTTTTTCTTATCTAGAAAAACATGCACCACGCATTTTTGATATTAGTTCAACTGGAGAAACAGCAAACAATTATTTTTATCTAAAATTTATTTGAAATGTAACTTAATAATTTTTTTTTATATATTATTATTGTCAATCGAATGGAGGAAACTCGAGTTTATCGTGCGAGCGTATTAGCCAACGTCATACGATAAAAGAGGCAGACACAATATTCTTTTCCGGTTGTTTCTTTCTCTTTTTTCTCTCTCTCTCTCTCCCGTAATGTTTTAGAGAGAGAGAGAGAAAATATATAAAAAGGGAAGATGTAAAATTGTAATACGTGGTTGAGTTCTCGTTTTTTTTAAGCAAATCAGCTACACGCACAAATGCGTAAGTTTTAGCATCACAAAAAAAAAGGTTCTTTTTTTTCTAGATAGTCTTTTTTAAGATTAATCTATCAGTAGGAGAATAATGTCGACAGCTAAAAGTTCATCGACTGATCTTCGATCAGAATTTGACCGTTTGGATTGCGTAAGAATGATAAAAATTATGCATTTATAAATGGTTTTTGTTTAGGATAAAGATGGTTTTATAACGATACAGGAATTTCGTGCATATTATGCACAAAAGAATACTGATCAATCAACAATTGAGAAAGCATTTGCTGAGATTGATGCGGATAAGGATGGACTGGTCACATTTGAAGGTAATGATTTCCTGTTTTTCTGTTTTTCTAAATCAACAACTAGGTTTTTTTTAGAATTCCAACGGGCGTACAAACAATAAAAACTCATGAACAATAAAACAAAGAACTAACTTTATTTTTTGTCTGCATGTGTGTCATCCGTATGCTTTTATTCATTCTTATATTTCTATCAATAATTTCTTGTTTTTGTTCGTATGCTTTCAATACACATTACAATATATTATTCCAGAACTAACTATGATATTCATAAGAGACATAGACTATAATCACATGCTATATGATTGTCAATGTGTTCGTTCATGCACCCTTTTTTGATAAAAATACATAGAATATTCAAAACAAAAAAAGAAAGTTCTCGTTAATCATAGAAGTATACTTTTGTTGGATGATCCTTATGGAATAAGTCTAATTCATAAATCAAGTATTTGATCGTTTCGATGAGAAGATATTGAGTTTTGCGGAGATTTCTATTTTAATATAATGACATTTCGAGAGTATGATGAAGTCCTTTTTTTTTTCGTCAATTTGTTTAGATTTTTAGTGAAATGACAGTCCATAATTAATTTAACTATCTATCAATATGATACGAACCAAGTTTAGAAGCATCAAAGTAAATATTTGAGAATATATGTAATAAGAAAAAGATGTGATATATATATATGAAAAAAAACATGAATGTAAGTGTACTTGAAAGTACTCTATTTGCTCGGAACGAGTATAGAATATGAATACAATGATTTTTTGTCTTGAAGTAAATATGAGATCTATCAGTCCGACAAAAATAGATTCATTTTTGAAAAGTTTATTATAAAAAATGATTCATGAAATTTAATTTATATTATTTGTATTAAAAAAAAATTCGGAAAGCGTGAAATAGAACTTGTGAAACCATATAGATTTGCACTCTAATTAGCATTCATCACATTCCATCTGGAAGTCGACATCGAACTCATTTTGATTATATTTTTTGGTGAATAGGTTTACGCTCCCAAAATAGAAAATAACATCAATTAAATGATAGAAAAACACAATAGTGTTCGAATGTCATTCATATATACTAGAACATTATTGATAATCTATTCGCAAAGAACAGAATGATATTGTAATTCAGCTTACCAATGATTAGATTTAGAATCTATTCTTAAAAAAAATTATATATATATATATATATGATTATTTACAGATGTCATATGATCAATTGGTATATTATATATTAAACAAAAGTATTCCTATTTAAGTAAACAGAAATTGAGAGATAATAACAACAATGAGTCCTTTTTTTTTCATTTACTTCAAATAGTTACTGAAAAAGAGCTTTCTTTAATATTAAACAAAATCTGTGAAAATTGATAAATAATCAAGAAATGAAGTTTTGATTTGTCTCAATAAACACAGAAATAACCAGTTGATGTTATACATGATTAGATGATTTGTTCATCGGTTGCGTCGATTTCCCATGAGCATAAGTATTTGAAGAAGAGTACTAATTTCTCTTTGTTTTAGATTAGTCATAACGAACAGTTCGTGTGCATCTAGTTTCTCATATTTATTCTGTAGATTATCAAAAAAAAAATGTAATGGAAAACAAACGATATGAAAGATCATTATCTGGAAGTAGAAATGGCACCGTCGGTAAGGACAACATTATCATGAGAAAAAAGAAATCAAATCTTTTCTCTCATATTGTACAAATCGATGGCATAAACGAGAAAATATATACATCTTTTTAAAGAATGAAAGTGATAAATAAGTTCAAAAAAAAATGATTGTACTATTATTTAAAATATTAATATTTACACTTACAAGGAAACATACCCAAGTGTCGAAGTACTTTTAAGTTAGGACTTATTGCATCTTGTAGATCTTAGTGAACTATGTTTACCAAGAAAAAAAAGTTTGTGCTCATGGCTCGTATCTGAGGACATCGAATATTTTTACTATAACAGCTATAAGACTCATCTTATCAGAGAAAAATAACTATCTCAACCAATAGAAGTTAAAACGAGTTGGAATTTTTCTCACCTATAGTCATACTCATGTGAAAGATCATGTGAAATTATGAGCACAACAGAGTTTAGAAAAGCAGAGCAATGGGTTTCAGAAAATGTTAATCTCTTGCGCCAAATGTCAATTATTATGTTACTTCTTATGAAGGAACATATTCAACTGTCGAATGTCGTTCGACCCCATCTTTTGGCTGTAAGTAAGGCTCAGTGAGACTAGGAAGATCATAAAAGAGTTCGTGTCCATGATGTGCTTAGTAGAAGGTTTCGTTGTCACATAAGTATAAGAACATGGAATGATGTGACTGACGGTAAATAGAAGACACCCACACTCTCGTTCTCTGATTAAATATAAGCTAATCTCATAGTATCAAATGAAAATTCTATGTTGAAAATTTCAGTTCTCAACTTCTCAGAGTAATGAAAAAATTAGCAAAAGGTAATAAAAAAATCCTATTTTCTTGCATCTATGTGATTTGAGATCGCCATCCAGACATGCCATGGACACGAACTCTCTTGGGATTTTCTTAATCACATTGAGCTCTATTCACAGCCAAAAGTTAGGATTGAACAGTGTCCGACAGTTGGATATGTTCCCTCGTTAGAATTATGAAATATACAGTTGAAAACTTTAGTATATTGAGTAGCTATGTCACAATACAATTTTCAATGCTTGATAATTGTTGTCTGTTACGATAATATACGCATTTTTCCTTAGATTTCTGATAACAACAAATTGTACCGATAGTGTTACCTACTGCGTGAAAAAGAAAAATAACTGGAACTTCTTTGTATCTCATAAAACAATTATCTTTAGATTAAACTGTATAGACTCTTATGAAAGTAATAACCGAAGAAAAAATACTGAAACCTTAAGGTATTTCTGCATCAATTGCAGCAGATTAATGGAGAAGGTTCACAGCAGTCGCTATTGCATAGGAAAACTAGGAAAAGCAAAGCAAACTTCTTTGACACATAGAAAAGAACCTAGATGATTATCTAGCGTTTGTATGCCAAACATAATTTAACATTCGTTGAAAAAAAACCAGGAGCACACAGTTGATTGTAAATGAGAGGTTGACTGAAAATGATGTTGTGACGTTCGCTCATATTGACGTCAAGGCTGTCAAGTTGCACTTAATCAAATATATGACGTGCGATATTTTTATGATATTTATTGTAGTATACGTCAAGAGGCTATATTTCTACCATTGTATGTTTATGTAGTTTAAGTCAGTAAAGTCCTTTGATATCAAACACTGATATAGTTTCCTGGACTAAACCAAGAATCGGAGTTAAGAAGAGTAGAGTGAGAGGATGCAAAAGGAAGCAAGACATGATCTCGTCAATAATTTGACAATGCTGGTTGTAAATTTTCCTGATTTACTACATGAGAGAACAGTATTAGAAGCTTTAAATAGGTGAGCTGAAATATGTCAAAATCATGAACATATAGTTTTCGAATTATATTCACAGAGGAAAAAGATCATTGTGTGAAAAAAAACTCACATGAATGTTTTCGCTCAAATAATCCGATAGTTCTCGCCAAAAGAGAAAGAGTGGTTTAATAAGTTTTCTACTGATATTGATACATTCTTGAACTGTAAATGAATGTGTGGTAGTATTTTTCGAACGAACTGATGAAGTAGTAGTCTTTTCTCCTTTGTGAGAAACAGTACAAGTTGAATGTCAGGTGAATCTGTATTAATCACAAAGCCTTGATGATATTCTGGTAGAAGCTTGCGCACAGGTAATACAAATTCATCAACAGAATGTTTAGTTTCTTCTTGGCTTGCTACTTGTCTTTTTGTTATCATCTGAAGAAGAATATAATTTCTCTGTTTTCAGCTCAACGAAATAGCTATCTCAAGATTTTCTTTGTCCATATTTCACCCGACGTTTTTTCATATGTATGCTTGAATAAGGAAAATATTTTTCATAGAATTTATGTCTCATGATAAATTGAACTTATGAAAGATTTCATTCTTCAAACGGAAAAATTAGAGCTGCACAGTATCATGAAAAAAATTAAGACGAATTGTTCTAGAGTCACCGCAATGGCTTGAATATTACAAATCAAAAAGAACGAGTTTTTCAAGCTAATATGGATCCTATGTCTGACGCCTGTTATTCTTGATTGCCAAAGTCTGTAATGGAAGATGTCTGTAGTGAGGGCCTGCGTTGCTAAGTGTCTGTAAATGAGGAGGGGAGAGGAGTGGAGGGCTGCAAAACTTCGACTTGAAACTTTCACCAGCTATTTTCTTCGAAAATATATGGGAGTTCTAGAAAATGAATATATTATCGTGGCAAATCGCAATTATTAAGCATTGAAAATTCTATTGGGACATAAGTATTCAATAAAATCCTAAAACTTTCAACCTTACATCTCGTAATTCTAAGGAGCAGCTTCATAATTAACATTTAGCACAAGAGATTAACATTTTCTGAAACCCATCACTCTGCTTTTCTAAACTCTGCTGTGCTCATAATTTCACATGATCTTTCGCATGAGTATGACTATATGTGAGAAAAATTCCAACTCGTTTTAACTTCTATTGGTTGAGATAGTTATTTTTCTCTGATAAGATGAGTCTTATAGCTGTTATAGTAAAAATGTTCGATGTCCTGACAAGCCATGTCACGAAAATCGGTTCAGTTTTAGCGATAAACCGTGGTATTTCTTAAAACCGTCGGTTGTAAGTGATACTGCGCGGTTTACCCCTAGTTTTTTCGGTGAAGAGAAGACGATGATTAGGTATAGAACGAAAAAACAAACATGTATATATACATGTACTCGTCGATCTTTCACTGATTTTGCTGGTTCACGTGGTTAGATAAAATAATCAAGAAAAGAATAAGAGGCGCAGTATAGAATTAATTGTTTTTATACATAATTTTTTCATAATTATTTTGTTTTTCAAAAATTCATTTTTTAATATTTATTTATTTTTTTCATTAATATTTTAATATTCACTTCTCCTTTAGATTAATTTTTAATATTTAATTTTCAGATTATTTTTTTAAATTTAATTTAGAAATTATTTATTAAAACATTTTTACATTAAGTTTTGTATGTTCTTTTTTTTTAGATTAATTTTTTTATGTTAAGTTTTACGATTATTTTTTAACACTTATTTTTTAGATTCATTTATTAATATTTTATTTTTAAATTCATTTTTTATTTTTGATTTATTTTTTTACATATGATTTGTTAGATTACGTTTTTAAAATGTTGAATGAATTTTTTATATTAATAATTGTACGTTTGTCTTTCAATATAAATTTTTTATTTTTTGCTATGTATGATTTCTTTTTTGTTTGCTTGTATTTTTTTGAGATAAACTAGTTTAATTGAAAGATAATTGTTAAATTTTAAACAAATATTGACGAGACAAAGATTCGAACAGTGCCGGTAAACTGCGGTTTTGGGAGTCGATAACCAGATCGGTAAAACCGCGATTAACCCCCGGTTTTTGCTCAGTTTTTCTCACATGGGTGAGCACAAATTTTTTTTCATGGTAAACATAGTTCTCTAAGGTCTACAAAATGCAATAAGTCCTAAATTAAAATCATTCCGACACTTGGAAATGTTTCCTTGTAAGATTTATATTTCAAAAACTTGAGTTATTTTTATTTTATTTCTCATTATATTTAAACATATACTAACAGCAAAAAATCAATAATAATTTTATTTGTGGAAATCAAGCACACATTGTGCATTTTATTTTATTCCCTCTTGTTTTCATAAATGCGTACAAGCAAAAAAAATAATAAGAATACAACAGCAATAAAAAAAAAGACATAGAAAGGACAGTGCGTGAATCTCGTATAATCATCCGTAATATGTAAAAAAAAAAAAAAAAAGAAGAACAACAAATGGTTTCTATTCAAAAGAATGCACATAGTAAATGAAAAAGTATTTGTAAGACTTAGAAAAAAAAGAATCAATGGTTATTATAGTATTGCAAACAATTGACACATCACAAACGAATACAAACATATTATTGCCAATGGTAGAAAAATAAAATGCAACTCGAATGAGCAAAAGAAAATAAAATGCATGAATAAATCTTCATTAAAGCATTAATGATATGGGTAACATATCATCAAATATTTGATCATCATCAAATTGTTGTACGCTATGTTCTAATGTTATTGCAGCAAGTTCTTTAAGAAATTCATTAAATATAACACCACAATAAGCTATATTACGAGTTTTTAGATCATCCCATTCATTTATTGAATTTGTTGGATTATGATCACGAATATTAATAAATCTTAAAAACAAAGATTTCTTTTTATCGTTTTGTTTTATTAAAAAAGAAAAAACTTTACTTCATTGATGTTTTATCAATAAATGACGTATGAGGTTGATTCTGAACATTTGAATTTTTATCTGTTTGATCAGATGGTCGAACACGACCACGAAAGAAATCTAATATACGACTTCGTTTTGATGAACGTTCTAAATTAATAAAAGATAAAAAAAAAAGAAATTTTTATCCATGTGTATAACACAAGAACTATTTTCTATATTTTAACATGCGATAACAGTACAAATACATAAGATTGATTTATAAAAAAATAAAACTAAACAATCGCATGCAAAAAGAACCTTTTATAGGTGATTGCTGAATTTCCAAAAAAACTCTTTCTTCGTCTGTGAATAATTAAGATCAAAATGAACCAAAAATATATAATAGATATATTAATATTACCTTTGTCTGGCTCAATAGATTTTGATTGTGATCCTGATGGAGAACGTGCTCGTCTTTGCATTTCATCAAATTCCTTTAAAAGAAATCTTTGAAAAGAAAAAAAAGATGTAACTAATTTAAAAATACATACTTTTGCACTATTTTCTCGTTGATATAATGTATCATGTGCTAATTCAATTAGATAATCAAAATCATTGAATGTTTGAGAAGTTGTTTCAAGTTTTGACTTTAGATTTGAAAGAATCTTTAATCAAAACAAAAAAAAACCCATAAATAAACACAAAAAAAAATAATCATAATAAATAAAATTCTTTACTTGGAAAAGTGATTTAACATTTGTTTCAAGTACAAGACTATGATTAAGTAATAAAGAACGTAATAATGGTTGAGAATAATGTGCTAATCGGGCTATAATACCCGTCAATAATAGATTGACATGTAAAGAATTATGTAACATATTTTCTAATTTGGAAAATATGGTTCGTAAAAACGGACCTAAAATTTATTATAAATTAAAGCAGAGTTCTAATAAAAAAAATTCAATAGCTAGAGATTATCTTTCAAATAGAGAGTAGATCGTATTCATTTGAAAAAAAAAACAGATTTTTATTTCCTTTCATCGACTGAAGGATATATTTTCAAATCTGTCATGCTATGACTAAAATAGATTTTTGCACAAAAAAAAAACAATGAAATTAAATAAAGAATTATCGAAACATTTTTGCTATTCATCGTAAGAAAAAAAAATCTATTAGAGTAATTTCTGCACGATTAAAATATGAAACACGACGTAGCTGTTGCTTCTAAGCACAGAGACATTATTTTATCCTATCTATCTTGGTTAGAGCTTGCCGGGTTGATCTCGAGCCCGGCTCTGAGTATGAAAATTTTCGACCCGATGAGCTTTAATCTTGAGACATGTTTCTTTACTAGGCATTCTTTCATTTAATCCTTCAGAAAGGCAATAAGGAAGTCTGTCATGATCTGTGAAGAGTCCAAATTTTTACTTTATACTTTAACACTCCTTTTAGTTCGTATTTCACAACAACAAAAAAAAATAATGAGTTTTTGATATATAAAAAAAAAAGTACCATGTAGAATTTATTTGCTAATAGTAATGAATAGGAGTATGAATTCAGATTTCGATTAAAAACTTTAATTAGAAAATCTAAATAAAAATCTTTTGGCTGAAGTAAATCTTCATGAGACTTCTCCGCATCGTAGGCTATGTTTAGAATCAAAACATAAAAAAAATTTTTATTGATTAATAATAGACATACCAACATCAGACATTTTTCCAGCAGGTGTTGTTGTTTGTTGTTGAACAGTTGATGTAATTAAAGTTGATTGTATTTGATTTGACATATCATTTGTACCTAATAGAGATATATCCATTGATGTTGATTGTTGTAAAAATGATATAACTGAATAATTTGATTGTGTATTTGATAATAATTGTTGATGATATTGATTATCTAAATTAATATTTAATAAATTTTGATCAATATCATTATTATTATCAATTTTAATCATTGTTTTATAATATTCAATATCATCAGCAAGATAAAGAATTTCATTTGATAATTCTTCAGCTGTTTTTGTTGATAATTTTAATATATTATTATCAATAAGACGATCAAGTAAAATTAAATATTCATTAAATGTTAATTTTTTAGTAAAAAATTCATTTAATAAATTATAATCTAATGATATTGAATTTATAGTTGATAAATCTTTTAAATTTTGAATTTCATCTTTATCATTATCAGATATATTTTCAATTTGATCAATTAATTCATTTAATAAAATTTTAATATTTTCATCAATTTTTTCTTCTTGTATTTCTTTATTATTTAATTGTTCATTCATATCACGAAATTGATTTAAACATAGATTTAATGTTTCAACACATGTTTTTATTTCATCACGAATATTTGTATTTATTGTAGATTGATTATTTGATGAATGTAATGACCATGAATCTTCACTACTACTAGATAATTCAATAAATGAAAAACCATAATATGATGATGGTTGATAAAGATCAATATCATCATCATTATCTATATATGAATATGTTGAATGAATATTTAATGAATGTTTAGCAAGAAGTTCATCAGGTATAGGTTCACCATTAGCAAGCCATGATGGTAATTGAAAATCATCTATTGTTGATTTTATTATTATTGGTAAAATTTCTGTTTGAGAATTTGTATCAAGACCATCTTCATGTATACCAGAATCATTTGATGCAGTTACATTTTTATTCGATTGTTTTTGATTTGAATTTAAATCAGATTTTTTTGAATTATTAGTATCAATAATATGTATTGATGAAATACTACTTGATAATGATATAAGATCAGAATCTCCAATAATTGTATCTGGTGATGGTGTTTCACCATCATATGGTACTGTCCAACAACGACAAGCAACACGGCAACGAACTATACTAAAATGGGCATCCTAAAAAAGAAAATAATAAAAAATTTTTTTTTTCTCTTAACGATAATCATACTTCAAGATAAGCACCAAATGTATATTCATATCGATCAATATTATTAGAAGATTCACCATTTTGATGAAAGCTAACATGGACTTGTTTTGATTGTGAATTTTGATTGCTATAAAAACAGAAAAATCATAGTAGAGCTATTTTTATGATCGTGAATGTCGATAGACAATGACTCAGAATAAAATTTGGAGGACTTTTTTTTTTTTTTTTGAGTAACAATGGAAAATTTTTATAGATACAAGGTAAAAAATAATGGAAACTATTATTATTATAAACAAATAATTTTCCGGATATTAGTGACGTTATCAGAAAATTCCGGATGATAAGAAGGTAATGCTCTACGATCTTGGAAGACATTGAGATGCAATATAATGGCAATGATGATAATTATCGCATTTTATTTTTCCTTGTAGTAATAGGGCGTAACCCATTCTTCGTTATGTTCGAGGTTAGTATGTAGTATTATTTCTTTGAAGGAAAGCTAATTTTAATTATAATTCTTTTATTATTCAATAAGATTTATGATGATCTTCTTATATTGCATGAATTAAAATTATATTTCGATAAGTTTTTTTTTCTTTCATATTTAAAAGTAAAAGAAAGAATACTTATCAACAAGACAAGTAAATTTAATTATAAAAAAATTATCAGCAGAATCCCTGAAGTATGAAAATATGATCGAATTATCTTTCTTATAAAAAAAAAGTTAATAATTTCGAGAATCATATTTTATTCAGAAAGTAATTAAACAAAGCAAAATTTGAATATCTTCAGTTATATTGATAAAATAATGTCAATAGCTTCTGTTCATAAGAAAAATATTATTACAAAATTTTTTCCATGAATTCTTCATATTAGTGTTGCTCAGGCTTATACATATTTACACTTTACACTACGGCTACGAAAAAGTCTCGGTACGACTAAGAAAAATTTTAAAAGATTCGCATTCATGACCTACTATTAAAGAGTTTCGAACTGAAATTATATCTATACGTATGTTTGGTAGTTATTAGATTGTCCTGAAAGTTTCAACGAAAATGAATATACCTTTCTCGAGATATTCTATTTTCAAATGGACTCGAAATTCTTTGTTTTAGATGTTTCGAAAATGCCTTGTCCTCAGTAAAAATTTCATTAACTTTTTCAATAGTAGCTCATGAGCGCGAATCCTTTTCTAAGCTTGTCTTAGTTAATCGTAGTCTTAATGCAAAATCGAACTATGTTCGACAGTTGAATATTTTCTCACGTCAGTGTATTCTGTTCATATTACCTATCTTTATTGTCATTTTTATTTGAAACTGAAGGTCTCAATGCAAGAAATCTTTCAGCATTTTTTCCATAAATTTCAACATCAGTTATATGTCGTCGTTGACTACACATAACATGTCGACATGGGATTAAATACCTAAATTTAACATAAATTAAAAAAAAAAGAAATGTTTAATAATATTTTTCATACATAAATATAAGACGATACATAATATCTTCACAATTAAGATTAATTAATGTATAAAATAAACCCAATGAAACTAATCCAAGCTAATAAAAAAAAAAAATTAGTCAAATTAAAAAAAAAACAAAATTTTCATACTTTCGTATTATAATTAATTCGCTGTATTAATGTATCTAACAAACTTATTTCATCAATTCTTGCACATAGTATAAATTTTAAAAATACTTTTAATAAAGCTGGTTCATGAATTGTACGTAAAAATAAATCTAAATAGGCTGTTGCTGCAATAACTTCATCCATTGTATTCTGTACAAACAAAATATAAATATATATATATATATAGATTTCTATGATACAATCAAAGTAAAAAAATCAATAAATCATGCTTAGTCTGAAAAAAAATCATGCAATAGCAAAATGTGCAAAATTAAATAAAATGTGAAGCAGCAAATAATATATAAATCTTTTTTTTTTTCTAAAATTTCTCATCGTTTACCGAAAAATGTTGTAAATCAGAAATTTTCAATGGTATTTCGTGAAGATCCTAGGAAAGAAGAAATTTGCTCACACACACGCACACATTTATGTGTTAACTTTATCATTGTGAAATTATTAAAAGCAATAGACATGCTATCAATAGGATCTCTTTCTTTTTTTTGTTTTTATTTCAACATACTTGATGAATACTTGGACCAAGAACTGGTACAAGAAATCCATGATAGATATATTGTAATAAATGATGACCAATTGTTGGATGAGCAATCTAAGAAAAGATTAATTATTTTTTTTTTATTTTATAAAAGAAAAAAAAATCTACTTGAATAACATCATTCGAAAATTGAAGAGAATTCATAAATTGTACTAATGTTGGACTTTCTGACCATTCTCTTTTTGTTAATATAAAACATTCATCATTACTTGTTGATAAACGATGTGGTAAATCAGAATAAAGAGCACTTAAACCAGTTGCTAAAATCTAAAGAAAATAAAATAATTATTTTATCAAAAGAAATAGTGAAGTATAAATATAAAAATATAGATTCTTGCAGATCATATATCAATAATGTCTCATAATAATATATATATATATATACTTATTGCACTTTTGGGAAGGATTAAATAAAAGAAACTGTGTTCGAAAATAGATATAATAAAATAATCTCTCTTTAATGAATAACAACAGATACATCATGTTTCAGATTTTAATCCCCTTATAGGGAGCGCACGATTATATAGAATTTCAGCATTTTTGCCCAATTTCTACCGGAATCTCTTCAATAGAAAATGATTATTGAAATTCCTATTTATCGAATTGTGCTATTATTTTTCAATAATAAAATTTTTACCGGACAAAAATTTGTATTTTCAACGATATGTCGTGCTATGTGTTCATTTCGATTGGATAATTGCATGATAAGTAATAAAGCATCACGAGCTTGTTGACCTATTTATAATGAAAAAAAAAAAAAAGTTAAAAAATGAAATAAAGAAATAATTTTAAAAAAAGTAATGCAAACACAATTCAATCACAAAACATTGTTCATCAAGAAAAAAATAATAAACCAAACATGCTGTACTCATATTTCTAAAAAAAAAATATCGTTTTCGAATTGCCCACCTGTTGTGATACCCTGTACTGATGGTATATCTAAATGTATATATGTCTTTTTTTTTAAAATTGCAATCTCTTATGTATCTCATTCGTTTATTTTTTTTTTTTTTTGAAAAAAAACCTAAGGACTTGAATTATGATGAATTCTCTTACCGGCAACTCCATCACGATGAACAAATGGAATTAAAAGTGAAAATATAACAAATCGAGATGGACCATGTTCAGCACTGATATCAAAACAAAATTCTAATAATTCAGGATGTTTTGTTATACTGACACATACCTACAAAGAAAATTTTAAATATATTAATCAATTAGATTAATGATAATTATTTCTTATTTTAATAAAAAGAAAAAACCTACTTGATTAAGTACAACAATCATATGTTTTTCAATATGGTCTAATGATGATGATGATGATTCACATGATCGAAGAAGATTAAGTAATGGTTTAAACTAAAATAAATTAACAAATTAAACATTAAAAAAAAATTTTTTTTTTGTTTTGTTTTACAATTTGTTTATGAAAGAGTAGTTCATGTTGTGATCGACTAAGAAGAAATTCAAAACAACGTAATTGATGATATTTTAATTCGGATGCATATTCAGGACAACTTAATGACCAAACAAAGAATGTATCAAGAATAGCTTCACTAATAAAATATAAAAGTATAGGACCAGGTCGATCTTGAATAGCCACTTCATCGGTAAGTAATGTAACTGCATGTTGAAAATGTGATAAAACACAACTAATATCGTCTTGATCGATTAATGGTTTTTGAAATATTAATAAAATTTGTTTCCAATGTTGTCGAAGAACCTTTTTGAAAAAAAAAAGAACAATAAATATTAATATATATCAACAAGTATTTTCTACCTCGTCAATAACTCTCATAATTTCTCACTTAGGATAATAATGTAACTGAATCAATAGAAAACTATTTTATCATCGTCAAAATTTTTTTTCTGTTTCTATTTAACGATCCACATATGTTGATCATTACTGATGACGACAAAAGAAAATAGGATAATAAGTCCGATATATATCCTCCGATGGTAAGAAGGAAATGCGAGTTAAGGCAGTTTTCATCGGGTCTTCTTTTTCTTCTTTTCTCTATTGAGTAATGATTCTGTTTTTTGTCGTATATATATTTGTAGTTAACAGTTCCGATAAACTTTTTATATTTTGATTAGAAAAAAGTCAAGGACATTACGTGAATAAATATAGGAGAAAAAAAAACACTAACCGCTAGTTCAACGCTAATGTCGTCGTCCGAGGTTTCAGCGCTACGATGTCGTGTCCAGTGTAGAGTCATGGCGTTTGTGCCAAGACATCTAGAACAATTCAAAAAATATATATACAATATTAATGTATTATGCTTCAGGTTTTTTTTATCTTGTTCAATATAATCAAATAATTTATTGTAATCGACGAATAGTAGTTACCGAGAAAAAAAAACAACATGACTCAACAGTTTAAACGACACCGAGATTTTACATGTCAGTATGGTATGTGTGCACTTTTTCATCTTTGATCCTTGGCCAATTAGAATAATGTCGTGAAGCTTTTTGACTTATAGCTAAAATAGTTTTATTATCATAAAATTTCAAATAGAGAAAAATCAATATATGTTTTTTTTGTTTGTGATATAAGTAAAAAAGTGTCTGACAGTAGATGTCGCTTGTTTATAAGTAAAACTTCTCCTGTTCACTATTAAGTTTTTGGTAGTGATGTTAGACGCAAAATATTATATCTTAATCATATGTAACTGAATGAGAGTTCAATATTGTTCCTCATAATCAATCGATTTTTACTTGTAATCTTCTGCTTCTGCAAATTCTCAACGATGAGACAATGTCAAGCGATGTTCTTTGGAATATTTAGTATGATTTAGGAATGTGTCGAAGAGAAAAAAGTGGAGGAAGGTATACAAGGAAACTTTTTAAGAGCCGGAAAACTGTATATATAATTTTTTAAAGTGGCGGAAGCCAATTCTCTCCTCCTATGAGCATATCCTTGATATATTTTATATAATTTTATTTGAAAATTTAATATTAACTAATAATGACAAAAATATTTGAAGAATAATTAATATTAGTCGATTCTGTTATAAAAGAGAAAGTAATATATAAACAATATTATCATTATCTGCTGTATTATTTCAAAGAGATTCGTAGTATGACATTGGATAAATGTATTAAGATAGCATGTAAAACTATGTTATGAGTCCTTGTTAGCAAGAATCAAATAACGATCGATGACGCTGAAATGGGAGGTAAATGTTATATAGAAGATAGAAAAACAAAACTCAGAAGGAATCAAGATTATGTCAATGTCACATAGCTTCAATCATCTTCTGATATCTATACTGATCATCATGACATATGTCTGTTCCAAGATTATATTTTTTGTAAGACTATTAAAAAAACAACAAGAATTTTGTAGAATTACTGTCGAGAATTTAAATCCTTTATTTTTAATATGTCTTTAATTGAATTTCTTCTTATTTATACTTTAAATCTATGTGATCGTATTGGTATGCTGAATACAATGATCACATGTACCAATCGAGTTTTTACGTAAAGTATGAAATGACGTACAAAATTTGCACATTTCATTGATTATATTTCCTAGTTGCTTAATAATATAGAATTTAGTTGATATTCTTCATTATTAGGTTTACTCTGTGAATGTTCATATACTATCGAATTTGAACAACATAAAATGTTGTTTTCAATGACAGAATTCAATTTAATGAATTCTTTCGAGTATCAGATCTGGCGATTAATTATAAATTTCTAGCTTGTGTCACATTTGACATTAGACTATACAGATGTAAATGTTCTTGAAGTACTAGATAAACTCGCTGGACCATAGTTTTACATCCATTTAACAAAATCTTATGTGTACGAGGATGTAGGTCATTCTTCAACATTAACATATTATATTATTCTTCGTTAGTATTATCAATGATGTTGTGTGCGAACAGACACTATCTTACCTGTTCAAATTCAATTATCTACATTTCAAACAGTGATAATCGAATGGGATGAAAAAATTATTCATGTACTCCTAAATTCTGTATGTATGGATACATTCAAGAAAATCACAAGAGCATCAATAATAGGTGCGAAAATGAGTTATGATCTCTATGCATTGGGACAATAATGCATTTTTTTCAGTCCTCAAAGACAAATAAAATTTTATTCGACTGATGATTTTGTATTCAAAATAGTGACAAGGTGTGTTTTTGAGATAAGAATAATTTGCTTGAATCCTATATAAATCTTGCTCACAACGCATAAGTCCAATTTATTCTGTCTACATCCTTTTTGTCTCTCTTTCAAACTCTTTTATTGCTTGATGTTCATATATGGTTTCCATTAGCAAAATTGTGATCACTATTCACTTAGTAAATGCATCGAAAACTACATCATCATTTCATATTTTGATTAAAATTCAAACACAATAATCCTCATAGACGTACAAGGAATATCTCATATTGTCAGGACATGTGTGAATTTTTATCATAAAATTCTCTCATTTAGATGTATGCATTCTTCGTCTTGTTTTTACATACTCATTAGATTTATCTCAATCGAAATTTCCAGTGGACACCGGGAATAGAACACTGAATATTACCCTCGCCAAAAATATAGCAGAACTTTTGCCATTGATAACATTTATTCGTGAATCTGTCATTATTTTCTATGATTCTATAACAGCTAAAGAGTGATCACCTCATCGATTAGCTGTTCGACGTCTACTTGATATCGGATAAAATCGATCAGATACATGTATTTGCACACAAAAAAATCTGATTCAAACAGAATTAAATGCACACAGCTCAACGATTGCTTAAGACCCCTCCCCCTCCCCACTCAAAAACCAATCTCAGCCCGGGTGCATTCAAATGGGCTGAAATTTGGAGCATATGTTGGTGCTGAAGTGAAGAGGTTGTGGTAAAATTTTTAGCTCGATACTACGAGGTTTGATAGAGATATGAACCAAACAAGGGTCAAAAATAGCTCATTTTCTGTCCAAGATTTCTTGGTTCAGGCTCTTCCAACATATTTAATTTTTTTTTGTTTGAAAGAGCATGCGAAGATGCAGGGCATCACAGAGTCCTTTTTTTCAAATTCTTACTTGTCTAGCGGAGAAAGAGAATCACAAGTTCAATGACTCAAAAAACGCTCCAAAAATGGGTGTCTAGTTACATAAATGTCTGTATGTATAATCAAAAACAAAGCTTAATTTAAAAAAGGACTCTGTAATGCCCTGCATCTCGACGCGGTCTTTCAAACAAAAAAAAATTAACTATATTGAAAGACACTGGACCGAGAAATCTTGGACAAAACATCACAAAATCGCAAACTGAGAAAAAACGAAAAACATTTTTCGTTTTTTTAAAAATCAGCGTAGTTTTCAAGAAGAGGTTAACGAAAATCATCAAAATTTTTAGCCAAAAGAGGGGTATTGGATAAAAATCCATATCATTTCTAAAAGTTCTGAAGACGGGCTATCTTCCTATGCATTTATTTCAATTTCGGAATTTGTGACGAAAATTGACTTTTTTGAGTGGGGAGGGGGGGGGGGGGGGGCCTTAACTATTAAAGTATCTTACGTTATTGTTAATAAGTACATTTAAGTGATAAATTGATAAGATAAATTTTATTGTTGTAAAAATTGTTCGTGTATATGTTTTTTTCTGATACATCAATTTTTTTCTAATTCATTTATCAATATTCTTCAGAATCCCATACTTCAATTATATAAACTGATATAACACCAGTTTTATCTTATAATGATGCTATAGACAACACTATGAACTATTGATATACCGACTATAGTGCAATTGCATGGATGTACTGGAAAAATACCGAGAAGAAAAATGTCGAAACGAAAAATATCGAAAGGACTAAAATGTTGACAGAGAAAAATGTCGAAAGAAAAAATATAGATACGGAAAAACGTCGAAAAATAAATTTTGAAATGATAAAACATCGAAACAGAAATATTTCGAAAAAAGTGATGTCTTCAGTACATGGTGGTTGTAAGTGCTTATAGTTCATTGCTGCCTTTCTTCTAATCCTATCAAATTAGATTTTTAACCAGTGTTAGTGATGATGAGTAATATCTAACATAGCTTAACCAAAAAGGAGGATGAAGAATTATTAAATAAGTAAAATTCTATTGCCATAGCTGCAACTACTTCACCATCAGATATAACTAAACCAAAATCGCCAGATATTTCATTTATTCATTCACAAAAAAGAAAACCTTTGCTCATAGTCGATGAACATGTTTTCAAATTGAATTCAGCCACAAGTACTATTAAATACTGGGAATGTACATTTGACGAATGTTCAGCAAGAATTCATACACATTCGAATGGTCAAAATACGTGTATTCAATTTAATGCAGGTTTAGGAGTAATAATAAAACAAATCAAAACAATTCCAATTCAACGTCATATCAGCAATCTTGGTAAACGATATTATTATGGTGCCATAAATGCTATGGAATATCTAGATAATTTATCATTTACAGTTTCTCAACGAAAACATGAAAATTTATAAATTTTTTTCCTTTTTAACTTTTGACTTATGTTCAGTCTCTGTTAGAATGCTAGTATTAACCTATACAATAAAGAACGTCCTTTGCTAGTCAGAATCTTTTAATATATTTTTCGACTATTTTTTCGCGTCGATATTCTTTTTTTTCAACGTTTTTCCTGTTCGACATATTTTCCTTCTCTTTTTCAACATTTTTTCTCTTTGGTTTTTTTCCCTTTCGACATTTTTCCTCTTCGAATTTTTCGCTTTCGATATTTTTACGGCCAACCATTGTATGACCATCGGCAGACGTGCGAACACATTCAATGGCTATACACATATATATGTATAGACACGCATTCACACTTCATTAGACGAAGTAATACTCATCGAAGAATGGCCAGTTGAACTATGGCTCGAACTGTTTGTTTATATGTTAACATTTGATCTTGTCGTCAATTGATTTAACCTAAACATTCGTTTGAATCGTATGATCGAACGTGCACTTTTACTAGGTCTTCATCAATTCGATCTTGATGAAAGCTGGACACATGGAACCTTTATGAATTGTGTTAAACATGTGTTTCCACGTTTGGCTCGTTATGTAAGCAAGATTATCTTGCGTGATACATTCGCCACACAACGTCTAGTAGCAAGATCTAGTTATTTTCATCCTCTTTGCTTCAATGTGCGTCGACTAATACTCTGCGATAATGTAATGCCATTTTTTCCATTCAGTCATCTTATCAATATATTCAAAGAGTCATCATTATTACATAAACTGATCATTGAATTCGGCCATCATGGAGGTAATTATTATTCGAGTATACTTGAAAAAATACTCAAAAACAATATTTCATTTCATACTATGCGACTCAATGTTATTGACTGTAAGACATAAATTTAAATTCTATATGATATATTTTTATATTTTCGTATAGATGCTTCTCCGTATCTCGGCACAACTTTAAACATTTTACGTTTCCATCTCGGAGATGATCATGGAATATGTCTTGCTAACACTGTACGTTTGACATTATTAGTGCAACGATGATCAAATTTAATTATGCTTATACAAGATGGTCGTTTACCATTACTTGAAGAACTCGATGTTACAATCGAGCAACGATCTACATATAATAAACAAGAAAACGGGGATGATCGACTTCATTCAGTTAATTTTTTCAAATTACGATCACTTCGCTTATGTGATGTTATATTAAATAATGTACGTGATCTTCTTCGTTCCCATGTATTCATTTTTTAATTTTCGACGCGTCCCCGAACGTTTGTCAGCAATGTAATTTCACGCGTCTGGATGCATCCAAAATGCAACATTTTCGGGTGTTCTAACGCGATACCAGTTTGAAACGCAGACAAACGCGTTTAAGTTTGTGCCACGTTTGGATGCGCCTAAAATGCAACATTTTTGGATGTCCTAACGCGTTCTAATAGAGAAACGCATCCTGACGCTGTTTATTGTTAAACACGTCGAAACGCGTTTTAGGATATCCAAAATTTGTTAAATTTTAAAAAATTGTGCTTTATATCATGGTATCTATCCACTTTCATCCCTACATGATGTTTTTATTTCAATCTGACACATTATGAAGTTATTGAATAGAATGCAACAAACGAGATTCGATCATGATGCCTACAGCCCGTGTAATCATAAAACGCATTTTTGACGCGTTTAAACGCGTCTGGAATTGAAACAGCCTCCAAACGCATTGAAATGCGTTCAGATACGTTTCGTGACTAAAACGCATCACAATTGATTTATAGTAGTTTTTAAACGCATTTCAATGCGAACAGTATGACTTTTGCATCGGAATGCGTTCATACCTGGAAATAATATTAACTTAGACGCGTTTGAATGCAATTGCTTTTACTTTTGCATCCAAACGCGCTTTTCCTACATGCAACTAATGCTTTTGAATTCCAATCGTGCGTGTAAATGTAGTTTATTTTTTTGTTTTGCATAGACAAGATGCATCTGAACGCGCTTCTAGCTGCAAATTCGCATAGTACTATCAATAATGCAGGTTACTTCGTCACAGTACGCGTGACTAGATCTCTAACAATAAACTGAACTGCGTACTTTTTATTTAAAAAAGCATAAAAATTATATAGTTATTTATATAGATGACATATTTAAGTCTTACTGCGTTTCGAATTCTTAAAGAGGACTCTTCTTGATAATCTGCAGTTTCAAATATCAGTGGCTAGCATTGCACGAAACAGAATATAAACACAAATAGTTGGATACGAGAAATCTCATCATATTTGTGTTTAGCATATAAAATCATGAAGACTTGGTTAATCTGTGAAATAGAAACAAATGAGTACACATATCAAATTTTGAAATGTACAGAACATTCATTCGAAAA